CATTGAGCAACCAACTCCCTCAACCCCAGTGCTGCAGACACTGTCCATGGAATGTTATTATCTCTCAGCCCCTTTTGATGCAGACTGGAAAGTTTCCCACTACCCTTCAAGTCCTTCTGCCCTGGAATAAGTGTTAACTGCTACAGGGACAATATATGGTTTCATCCTTTGGTCATGAACATTTGATATACTTTTTAAGTTACATATTTTTAGTATACCTTTAAAAAACCCCAGCAAAACAAATACAAGTTGTGCCAAGGCTTACTTCATGTCTCATAGAAAAAGATTCTGGAACAACCTTGAGAACAACTAATATCAAAAAGATCTTTTTTTTTTTTTGAAGTCTTTAAAGACCTAGCATCCTTCTTTTATTCACATAAAAGTATTGGTTTGTCTCAACAGCTTTGTTTTTTTCACTAAAAGCATAAATACCATGTAAATTGAGTACAAAGTGTAAGCCAAAAGACAGACAGTGCTGCATGAGAAAACTGAAGTCAATTAAATGTTGCCAAGAGGACAAAGTACAACTACCAGATGGCAGCACATTCAGTTCTTCAGCAAATCTAGGGAGTATTTCATGTGTTTAGCTTTCTTATTACATGCTCAGGATGTGCTTTAGACAGAGTAATTTATAAAACAAGCTTTTTCCATTCATTGCACTATTTTGATGAAATATAATGAAAGAGCAAGGACATCATACACTTAAGGAAATTGCTTTTTGCAACTTTACTCCACCAATTCCATATATTCTTTTGAAATTTGGAGCATTCTAGCTGGGTACATGCTTCTACCATGAGAACCATCTGGCCACACTATCTCATTTATTTTCTAGGCAGTAATAGCCCATTTTGGCAGCAACAACCATCTTCTGCTGTTCTGTCTCCTGGGAAGCTCTCCTCCAACATGGTTTGAATGTACCCCTGCCACATGACAGTGCCGTGCAAAATACTGGTAATGCTGCTATCAGAATATCCCATGAGCAACTTCTTTGGTGAAATCTTCATAAAGAAGAAAAAGAAAGAAAAAGTAAGAAAAGGAAGGGGGGGAGGGAGGGGGAGGGGCAAGAGAGGAGAGAGAAAAAAGAGGGGATAAGAAGCAAAGAGAAAAAGAGGGGCTGCAGAATGATTGTCCTTGTTGGCAAAAGACTAAAGGACACATGTACTGAGGGCTTCTGGCTCTCAGGCACTGAAAATACTGATTCTATGTAAAGGTTGCTCAGGAATCCAACAGTCTTTCCAAGCTCAAATTCATTCTGTGGGTAAGTATATTACAATATACTATTATATATCTAAAAATAACAATA